ATGACTTCTTTAACAAAGTATAATGTTTTTGCTAAGTTTTTTTACATGTTTTATTTTTGTTTTACATGTTATAGCCTGTATCAGTACTTTGTTCCTTTTTATTGCTGAGTGGCATTCCATGGTATGGATATACCACAGATGGTTTAGTTATTTACCTGTTGAAAGACATCTGGGTTGTTTCCAGTTTTTGGCTATTATGAATAAAGCTGCTATAAACATTTATGTACAGGTTTTTGTGTGAACATAAATTTTTATTTCTCTAGAATAAATGCCCAGGAGTGCAGTTGTAGTTGCCTGTTTGAATTTTATAGAAATAACGAAAATGTTTTCTACAGTAGCTGTTCCATTTTATATGTATAAGTGATATAGTTTCTTCACATCTTCTCAAAAACCATTTGAATTTTCACTATTACTTTAGCCATTGTGCTTTTAATTTGCATTTTCCTAATGGCTAATGATATCAAACATCTTTTCGTGTGTTCATTTGCCATTGGTATTGCTTTTCTTTTCTTTTATCCTCACCCAAGGATATGTTTATTGATTTTTAGAAAGAGAGGAAGGGGGGGAGAGAGAGAGAGAGAGAGAGAAACATTGATGTGAGAAATATCGATTGGTTGCCTCCTGTATGCATCCTGACCAGGAATTGAACCCATAACCTTTTGGTGCATGGGAAGACACTCCAACCAACTGAGCCACCCAGCCAGGGTTGGTATTGCTTTTTGATGAAATGTCTGTTCAAGTCTTTTACCTATTTTTTAAAATATATTTTTATTGATTTCAGAGAGAGGAAGGGAGAGGGAGAGAGAGAAACATCAATGATGAGAGGGAGACCAATATACACTCCTCCGTAGTTTCTCCTCTGGTCATCTTCTGTTATCAATTCATCTGTTCTTGACCACATCACCTCTTCTCCTTTCCCATGGTGACTGTCCACTGTCTCATTCATTGTGACTTTAAATTATACATTACTTTTTGATAAAACGTATTTTGTTGTTTGCATTTCAGAAGAGTGTTTGTCTTAAGTTTTGCGCCAAGGAGCCAAGTGTAGCACGAAAACTTTATGTGATGGGAAGTTAACATTTTATTTAAAGAAATATTCTTCATTTTGCAATATATACAATTTTTTTTCAATTTGTTTCCTCTGACAGGATTCAAGACAGACACCTGGTTTTCTTGAGTTTTAAAAGGATATTTCCTTTGCTCCACTTGAATGACCAGTAAAAACATAGGTCCAACTGGCAAAGTGAAAAGGGGATATACAAATATTGAATCATGTTGTACACCTGAAACTAATATAGTGTCATATGTGAATTACATCTCAATTTCTTTTTCCTGTTTCAATTCTTTTTTTTCCTTTTTTTATTAAATTTACTGGGGTGACATTGATTAATAAAATTATATAGGTTTCAAGTGTACGATTCTGTAATGCATCATCTGTATATTGTAGTGTGCGTTTACCACCCGTCAAATCTCCTTCCATCACCATATTTTTGACCTCCTTTACCCAATATTCAATTGACTTTAACACTAGGACAGATGGACCTTTGATTAATGATTTTGATACTTGTGCTAATCCTATTAGTTTTTCTTTTTTAAATTTTATTTATTTATTTATTTAAATTTATCTTTATTGTTGAAAGTCTTATGTCCCCTTTTTTCCCCATAGCATTATTGAGATATAATGTACATACCATACATTTCACCCATTTAAAGCACACAATTCCATGATTCTTAGTATATTCACTATGTACAAACATTACTACAAGAGTACTTTGAATGTCTTAATCTCATTGCCTTCTGACTTCCATTGTTTCTGATGGGTAGTTAGCTGTTAATCTTACTGGGGTTCTGTTATAAGTAACGAGTCATTTTTCCCTTGCTGCTTTCAAGATTTTCCCCTGTCTGGCTTTCAGTAATTTTACCATAATATATCAGTGAATCTCTTTGC